CTAAAAGATCCTGAGGGGAAACCTGACTGGGTGGATGTTGAAAACATGTTTCCTCTTATGGGAGAATCTAGAATTGGAGGTCATAGTTGAATAATAAAGGTGAACATGTTTAACACAGAGATACGGAAACATTTCTTTTTTCTGAGGGTTGAGTATCTTTGGATTTCCCTTCATCAAAAGGCAGTGGATGTAGAATCTTTAAATAGTTCTGAGGCAGTGGTAGGTATATCTTTCATCATCATCGTCAACTTCGGGGGATATGCAGGGACATAGAATTGAAGTTGAACTCACATCAGCCACAATTTTACTGATCGGCAGAGCAGGCTGGAAGGGCTGAGTAGCCTACTCCTCTCCTCAGTCATATGATTGAATAAAACAGTGAACAAAAAAACTCCAGTCTTGTCTGATTACTGCGAGTGAGGAGGGTCTACTTCACCCACCCAATGGAAATAGTCCCTCTCTAACTCCCTGACCAGCTTCAATTAACATCTTGAAAATGTAAATCAAATTATCCCTCAATCTTCTAAATTACAACATTCCTGGTGAGATGATGTGCTTTGATGGAAGGGATAGAAAACATAAGAAATAGGGACAGAAGTCGTCCATTCGCTTGAGTCTTAAAAGAAAGTCCAAGCTGATCTATTTAGGCTTCAACTCCACATTCCCACTTGGTCTTAAATTTTTTTTATAAAGTTCACTCATGGGACATGGGCATCACGGGCTGGGCCAGCATTTATTGTCTATCCTGAGCTGCCCTTTGAGAATGTGGTTGTAAGCTGTCTTTTTGAACTGCTGCAATCCATGTGCTGTAGGTAGACCCACATTAGTGTTAGGGAAGGATTCAGGATTTTGATCCAGTGCACTGAAGGAACAGCGATGTATTTCCAAGTCAAGATGATGTGTAGGGATTCATGCCCAATACAGAGTCTCATCCATCACTGTGGGAAAGTCAAAACAACTCTAATCCCATTTCCAGTACTTGGCCCATAGCTTTGTGTGCCTTTAAATGACAAGTGCACATCGAAATACTTATTAACTGTTATGAGAGTTTCTGCCTCTCCCACCCTTACAGGCAGTGAGTTCCAGATCCCCAGCCCCTCTGGGTGAAAAAGATTTTCCTCACATCTCATCTAACCCTTCTGCTGCTTAATGTAAATCTAAGCCCCCAGTCATTAATCCCTCCTTCAAGGGGAAAGGTTTTTTCTCTTTCTACGCTATCTGTGGTCCGCATAATTTTACACATCATGTCCCCTCTCAATCTCTGCCCCGAGGAAACAACCCCAGTCTGTTCAATCTCTCTTCCTAACTGACACTCTCCAGCCTGGGCAACATCCTAGTAAATCTCCTCTGACACTCCCCCTATAATGTGCAAAAGTGGAGATGTGACGCACGCTCTCCTGATCTAAATCGCTTTTATTGTGAACAGTTGGGGCCCAAGCTACCCCGATTCCTGCGGTTCCGCTCTAATCATCGCCTGCCACTTGGAAAAGATCCCTTTCTTCTGACTCTGTTTGCTGGTTGCCGACCAGTTCTCAATCCATTTCAGTACACGATCCTCAATCCCATGTGATTTGATATTGCATGCTGAGGTCTATGTGCGACCTCATTGAAAACCTTCTGAATGTCCAAGTAAACATTTACTGGCTCTCTCTCATTCACTCCACTAGTTACACACAAAAAAATTCCAGTAGATTTCTCAAGCATCACTTACCTTTTGTAAATTCATGCTGACTGTGTCTGATCTTGTCACTATCTTCTAAATGGTCTGCTATAGATAGGTTCTTGATTATCAAGGGTTACGGGCAGAAAGCAGGAGAATGGGGTTGAGGAACTTATCAGCCATGATTGAATGGCGGAGTAGACTCGATGGGTCGAATGGTCTAACTTTTTCTCCTACGTCTTATTACCCCTTTTATAGTGGAATCTAACATTCTTCCCACCAGTAATATCATGCTAATTCCCTGTTTTCTCTCTGCCTCCTTCCTTAAATACTGGGGTTATGTTAGCTACAGTCCAATCCACAGGAACTCTTCCAGAGTCTATAGAATTTTGGAATATAACTACTAACACATCTGCTATTTCTTCATCTGAGTACCTCAGGTTGTGATCAATCTCTGGGCATTTATCTGCCTTTAATCCCATTAGTGTCTTCAATATCGTTTACCTACTAATTTCTTTCAATTCCCCCTTCTCTTCAGATCCTGTGATTCCCTTATTTTTGTGATGTTATGTGTGTCCTCCTTTGTGAAGACAAAGCTAAAGTACATATTTAATTGGTCTGCCATCTGTTTCTAAACAAATATTCATCTTTACTCATCTTTTTGTCCTCACAGACCTTTTGATGCTTTTGCTATTAATCTGGAATCTAGAGTCTAATGATGAACATGAAACCACTGTCAATGGTCAGGAAAACCCACCTGTTCACTAATGTCCTTCAGGAAAAGACATTGCCATCCTTACCCAGTCTAGCCTATATGTGAGTCCAGCCCCACAGCAATGCAGTTAACTCTTACCGGCCCTTTGTGCAATCAGGGATAGGCAATGAATGCTGGTCTAAACAGTGACACTTGCATCCTGTGAATGAATTTTAAAAAAATTGGTTTGTATGGTCCCTGCAAGCTTATCCTCATACTCTGTTTTCTCCCTCATCGTCAATCCATTTGCTGAAATTTAAACTGTTCCCAATCCTCAGGACTGTTGTTTTATTTTGCCTATTTTCATGCTTCTGCCTTAGAAGGCATACTAACCATACTTTCCCTTACTTGACATGGTTTAACCACGTTTCCTGTGTTGTTTTTATGCCTGACTGGGATGAATAACTTTGTATCTTGTCCAAGCACTCTTTAAATGTTTGCCATTATCTATCTCCCATTGTCCATTTAAATACTGATCCACAATTTATCACAGCTAGCTCACGCCTCATACCATTCTAATTTCCTTTATTTAATTTCAGGACCCTAGTCTTAGAAGTAACTACATCACTTTCCATCTTAATGAAGAATTCTGTCCTATTGTGGTCACTCTTCCTTAAGGGTCCATGCACAACATGATTGTCAGTTATTCCTTTCTCATTACCCAATATCCACTTGCTGCTTCAACATATTGATTCATAAAACAATTCCATACATGCTCTGTGTTCCTCCTCTTTAATATGCTACTAATTTGATTTGCCCAATTTATATGCAGATTAAAGTCATCCATAATTACAGCTAGATCCTTATTACGGTCAGTTCTGCTACAACACGTGTTCCGGCAACGCGAATTGACTATAATGCGACTGACGAATAGAGGAAAGCTTTTTCTAAAATGCGAACTTGTGTTGGCTATAACATGACTCCAGTGTGCGGAGGAATATATGTCAACATCACATGACCGTTTTGTGGGCTTTGTCCTGAGCATACGCAATGTTAGCGCTGAAAGAGTCTCTGTGCCAGCATCACATGATCGTTTCGCAGGCTTTGTTCTGAATACACGCAATGTTAGTGCCAAAAGTCTCCGCGTCGGCATCATACGATGATGGTGATGATGACTCTCAGCCCCTGCCTTAACAACAGAACAACCTAAACCTCCAGCCCCATCAAGTCATCTTGACATTTTTTCAAGGTAAGGTGTTAAATTTACTTTTATTTCATTATTAGATATGTATTAAAGATTTATTCAAACTGTGCTATCCTTTATGTTAGGATTTCGAGTGATTTTTGAGCGATTGAGTGATATATTTTGGTGTCTGCCCCTAATCCTGCTTTTCCCACAGGCCCTGTTATTTCTATAACGCGATGTTGCGCAGGAACGCAACTATTGCATTATAGCAGAACAGACTGTATTTGCATTTCTAAATTTGTAAATTTCTAAATTCACCCACCTTCCTGCAAAAATGCCATCCCCTATTCCCAATTCCTTCGTCTCCGCCGCATCTGCTCCTGGGATGAGGCATTCCACTCTAGGACATCCCAGATGTCCTCGTTTTTCAAGGATCGCAACTTCCCCCCAACAGTGGTCGAAAACGCCCTCGACCGCGTCTCCCGCAACTCATCCCTCACACCCACTCCCCGCAATAACAACCAAAACAGGACCCCCTCATCCTCACGTACCACCCCACCAACCTCCGGATCCAACGCATCATCCTCCGGCACTTCCGTCATCTGCAATCTGACCCCGCTACCAAAGACATTTTTCCCTCCCCACCCTTATCTGCTTTCCGGAGGGACCACTCTCTCCATGACTCCCTCATCCGCTCCACGCTCCCCACCAGCCCCACCACCCCCGGCACTTTTCCCTGCAACCGCAGGAAGTGCAACACCTGCCCCTATGCCTCACCCCATTCCAGGACCCAAGAAGACCTTCCACATCAAACAGATGTTCACCTGCACATCTGCTAATGTGGTATATTGTATCCGCTGTTCCCGATGTGGCCTCCTCTACATCGGGGAAACCAAGCGGAGTCCTTGTGGAACACCTACGCTTGGTTCGCAACAAACAACTGCACTTCTCAGTCGCGAACCACTTCAACTCCCCCTCCCACTCCTTAGACAACATGTCCATCCTAGGCCTCCTGCAGTGCCACAACGATGCCACCCGAAGGTTGCAGGAACAGCAACTCATATTTAACTTGGGAACCCTGCAGCCCAATGGTATCAATGTGGACTTCACAAGCTTCAAAATCTCCCCTCCCCCGACCGCATCCCAAAACCAGCCCAGCTTGTCCCCGCCTCCCTAACCTGTCCTTCCTCCCACCTATCCCCTCCTCCCACCTCCCACCTCCTACTTACCAGCCTCATCCCGCCCCCTTGACCTGTCCGTCCTCCCTGGACTGACCTATCCCCCCCTAACTCCCCACACATAGTCACCTTTACTGGCTCCACCCGCCGTCTCTTTGACCTGCCTGTCTCCTCTCCACCTATCTTCTCCTTTATCCACCTTCCATCCGCCTCCCCCTGTCTCCCTATTTATTTCAGAATCCCCTTCCCCTCCCCCATTTCTGAAG